GATATATTCCAAGCCCAGACACATGCATATGCATATGAATATATTTTTACTTTGAGGAAGAAATCTTGAATTATTTGTGAAGCATAAGTAACGCACCATGAAGAACTCAACAAAAGCAATCCGTGTGGCGTGCATGTGATCACCCAAGAGCTTCAATTGGGAAACCTAATTTAATGGGTTCAACTGATCATCCAAATTTAAGAAAACCACTTGCAGAAGGAAAAAAAAGAAGTGATTTAACTTCAATGCATACCTCACCACATCTTTTTTCAAAGAAACTCTTGACATCATCTTGAGAGACCTGTTCAGAATTACATTTATCCAGAAAGATATATAAACACCACTTAATGAAGCATCATAATATAGGTTTTATTAATCATTTAAAACTACAGACTGGCCTCGGAAAAGAATACATATTAAATTTCACAATAGAGATATAACCTTATTATCAATGTTTGTACAGTACACTGTCCTAGCACACATCTCCCGTTCATCCTCCGACTGTAGTAAAACACACTTTAGTCGTAAGATAAGAAATACACATGTTGTAGTAAAAGCAGCATATGAAAGAGTCAAAGGAACTGAGTTCTCAACAGTATTAGTGTCGATGATAAAGTACTCTTACCCTTGGAAGGAATGTAGGGTTCACTGGAAGAATAGCAGTTTTGGAAGGCAAAACCTTAATAGGAGAGCAACCCATCAGTGTCCCAGTAAGGATAAGAGCTGCCCTAGCAGAATCTATTCATAAAATGAGGAAAGATTCTGTTTAAGAGACCAAATTAGCATCTTAAGCTTAAGGAACCCCACAAAGGAGAGAACAAAATGAGATATTCTGACTCACATTCATCGGAAAATTCCACAAAAGCAAAGCGAAGACGGGAATGTGGATCACCACATACTCGGCAATCAACAACCTGCAAAATATGTAAAGATGAGGCATAAATGAGCAATACAAAACTTGACAGAATTCAGTCAATCTGCATTCCCCATAATTGATTGTAGCAACCCAAAATTAAGATGAAGAAAGGCCTGACAAAGGGGAAAATGTTCATACCAAGACAGTGCAAGGTACACAAGTTATATGATTTCAAAAACATGATTGCTCATTTTTCATACAGATCACATGCTTTATTTCTGGAAGTTCTACTACATCCCAGGTTATGATTTAGTACCACCAGATATCTAATATAGGAACATATATTACCAAGCTAGCAGAGATAGTCTGTTAAGTGATGCTTGATCATGGGAATGTATGCATCATCAACATAATTAGTCAGTATTTCCTAGATTTGATTGATCAAGTTTACAGCATTCAGCACTATCACAAATTAGGATTTCATTTAATGATATAAATGAAAACGCGAAGGATCCCATCATTAACAATGCAATATAAAACAGTTCACATGAAATATTCTTCAGAAGAATAACTTACTTGACCATAGCTGCTAAATAAGGCAGCAAGCCGCTCCTCGGTGATCTTAAGTTTAAGAGGTAAGAGATCACCAGTTAGAATCCTGAAACTTACTAAAATATCACGTCAAATTTAGCTCATCAGTTTGGTTCTTACATTGTGATCAACATCAGAAACATAGACAGTTCGCCTAACGCTGTCTTCCCTTTGAGCTCTGAAAGCTCTGCCACTCCCTCTCCTTCTGCTTGAGTTGTTATTACTTCTTCTCTGAGAAACAGAAATAAGGGTGCAGAATCAGAAAAAAGAGACGACCCAAAAAAAAAAAAAAAATGTGTATTTGGAAGAAACAAACTCTCTTTCGATAAACAAATTGAAGTTATGAAGTGGACATAACTCGCCATACAGCATAAAAGATTACTCAGGGGATTCAGGATAAATAACAAATTAAGTAAGTCATATTAGGATACCAAATAATAAGAGTTACACGATTGCAATTCATATGCAACACAAGAACGAAGGTCATGCATATAAGTATGGTTTAATATATTTCCAAATCTGCAACCCATGTACTGAATCTATCATCATTGCAGCTTAATCTCAGGTTCACATAAAACTAATATGCACAGTAGCTGAACTATATATTTCTTGTAACCGAAGGTCAGTCTACACATCTCTAAAACTAAATTGATCCACTTATATGAACAAAAGTAAAAAAGTCCATATTTTGCAACTAAAATGTCGCAAACCAATTGTGAAAGAAGTTCACGTGTTTGTTTCGGTTTCAATTCAATATGCTCTAACAATACTTCATGAAGAACCATATTTGACATAAACAGCGTGATATGACAATTTAGATAAGAAAATCCATTCTGCAAGTATAAATCTATGTTACTCTTACAACAGGAATAAACTTACAGCAAGAATAAAGTATAGGAATACAACTCCCACCCACTTTAACTCCCTCCTTCTGTTCAAAGATGCAGGATAAAAGTATGTGACCCCTAAACTTACACAACCATACTAGCTAAAAGAATAATAGCCCAAGTTCCGAAAGGAAAAACAAATAAATAAGGTTGTACAACATAAGTCAAGCAGGTCTACAGTTTATCAATGTAGTGACTGTTAAGAGGATTGGGTTGGAACTTTCATCTTATATAAACACAAGCTTAAGATTTGTGCTTACAGGTGTACCATCCAGAAATAATGGAAAAAATAGAACAAACAATTCACAACAAACTGAAATGCCCAAAAGACAATAAAAAAACTAAGGAATTAGAACATCATCAACCACCACAAAAAGAAACTATTCAATAAAAGGGGCATGTTCAAAATCAATCAGAGTGAGAACAGTGTGTATACCCTAAGGTTATTCTTGGAACCATCACTTCCCAAATTCTTATTGTAAAACACAAAACTGTAAGCACCCATGTGGCCATAATTATAGGAGGAAGGAAAGAACTCCTTAGCCAGGGGATTCAGCTTCAGTTTCTTCAGCATATCAACAATATCGTTCATTCCAAGTTCTGATTTTGAATCGGCATTTGAGTCCATATCAGAGCCCTTAACCTCATTAGTACCACCAGATTCCTCAGACATCTCAGAATAGGAATTTTCAATTTTCTCCATTTTTTTTTCACTGGCAGGGCCACGGTCATTCGGTGATGAAGGTTCAACAATAGCAGCTGGAGAATTCATCTCCAAAACTGCAGCCTCACCAAAAACCTCTGCACCAGCGGCCATGGAATCGATGAAAAAATAAAACAAAAGGCTGGAAATCAATGGTTTCAAAACCAAAAGGACTGAAAAACACTATATCCAAACAAGGTCTGATCTTTATTATGTTTCCCACAGTCAAAATATAGAGATCAATCGAGAAAGTAATGTATTCCGCTCTGGTTTTCCAGATTCCCTTGATTTTCGTGTAAAATCCAGGCCGATTATCTCAACGTATGTGTATGTGTAGAATCTATGGAGGGGCTAAAAACAAAAACCCATGGTGTAAATGGTTAGCAATGGTAAGAACAAACAGAAAGTGAGAAAAACAAGATTAAGGGAGAGTTTAACTAGAAGAAAAAGAAAGGCAAAATTTTCAAGGGTTTTGTGTAACCAATTCTTGATCAGTAATGGCAGAGGTTTAGGTGGTCGTTAAGGGAATAAACAACATATGGGCTGGGCTTTCGGCTCCTTTAACACACACACGCACAATGTGGGCATATTTTTTACGCATATACTAACATAATAATTATTATACAGAGGCATGAATGACTAGGGGAGCTGAAACTGTACAGAGTAGAAAGGGTGTTACAAATTGTTGAAGGAGCAAAAACGTAAAACTATTGACTTCTAGTTGTTTCATTTTTCTTCTCTCTTTTCTTTTTCTTTCATCATTATGGCTTTTGTTTGTTATTACTAATTCCTAGGCAGAGGATATGGCTTTCATGAGTCATTACTGCTTTTCTGGGAAAGATTATTTTTCCTTTTATTTTGTGATTTCCATCTCGCATAAAATTTATCCTGTCTAATTGAATGGGATAAAAGTAATCAGAAAAAAGAATTGACTAAATGTTTTTTTTTTTTTCTTTCCCAAAACGATAGACTAAATGCTTTTTTGGGAAAGTTTTTTTTTCCTTTTATTTTATGATCTCCATCTCACATAGGAATTATCGAGGTCCTGAAAATTGAATCGGTCATCGAATCGACCAAACTATTGGTTCTATGATTCACTAGTCGGACATGTAAAATGAGGTATTGTCTATGATTGAACCTCGCAACAACATGTTGTGCTTTCTAAAACCCTCTTGTTGGGCTTTCGTTTACCGCTCCGTGGTGTAGAGTGACCGTGGCTGCTTTTGGGCTACTGGTCTTATCAATGAGAATATTACGGATGTCGTTGGTCGAACTGGTATTTTATTTATTAATATTTTTGAATATATACAATATTTTATATAATAAAATTTATATAAAAAACTTTGTTAATTTAATATTAAAACAATTTAAAACATTCAAATACTTAAATTAACTAATAATAACTTATATATATCTATTATATTTAAATATATATTTTTATATTAAAATATTTTTAAATGTATTAATTTTTTTTTCAAAAAAAATTGGAAACCCATCTAACCGAATCAGTTTTTGGTCGGTTCTGACCGGTTCAACCGGTTGTTGATAAGTTTTTGTACAGTTCATTGGCAACCGATTCATTCCCGCAAACTAGACCGATCAACCTACCGGTTCTCTGTCGAACGGACCGGTCCAGTCCAGTTTTCTAAACCATGAAATTTATCCAGTCTAATTGGATGGGAGAAAAGTAATCAAAAAAAAAATATGATAACAGATGGAGAAAATTTTTAATATATAAAAACTAACGATTTACTTTAACTAGAAACATAATTCCTTCTTTAAAATTTTACTTTTACGGAAATTTGTGAATTTTAAACTTTTAAATGTTTATAAAAATAACAATATTTTCTTTCTTATAATAAGGTCAGTCATGTGATAATCATCTCAAATCCACCAATTATCCTCATAGTTTTCTTTTGGATAGTATTTATTAAATCTCTCAGGAAATGTTAATAGATTATATTAAATCAACATAAACCCGATTTTACAATTTATTATTGCTATGAATATTTCGTTTACTATATATAAATTTCAAAATCCCCTTATTCCCCCATATATAATTTATGAATGTGAAGAGTTTAAATGGCATGCTCGCATTCTTGGAGATCATAGGTGGCATATTTTCACGCTTTGTCATTTAGCATGAATAGATTTCAATTTACTTCAAATCCAAAAATAACTAGGCTTGGAGTATCCACAAATATACATGATATTTATAATCATTTTTAAGGGGATTGATATTTTTTAATATAAATTTATATTCTTGACGTGATTTATAAGGCATACATTTTTACCCTAATCTTTCTTTTTTCCTCATATTTCTTTTATGATTATAAAAAATTACTTTAAATTACAGATGTATTTAAAAGTTAATAAAAAAATATTTAATATTATATTTTTATATATAATATATAAAATTAATCGTGTCTTAATGAACTTAGATTAGACATCTATATTATATGTATAATATTAAAAATAAAAACATTTATTTATAATAAAAATTAAACTACCAATTAAAATTAATTGGAAAAATTAAAACTATTTTAAATTAATTTAAGTACAAAGTAGTTGTAGAATATAAATTAAAAAAAATTATTATAATATAAAATAATAAATCGTATAAGTATCAAACGTTATTTTAAACATAAATAATAATATTAATTTTCAAAATTTAATTTTAAACATAAATTTACTAACAAACACCCGTATAATATACGGTATTGTATTTGTTTTTAATTATTAACGAATTCTCAAAGATCCATACCAAACACGTGGGAAATGCATTTATGCAGAAAAAAGCCTAAATTAATTTTCTTATCATACAAGAAAAATTATATACGCTCTATATAAGTTTGATTGTGGCCGAATTGGTTTACTATTCATCTTTTATATTTTATTTTTTTTACACAAAGGCTTCGTTTGTTAGCCATATTGAGATAAGATTATGCCTTTTTAGTTGGGTAAATCCAACGTTTGTTAGAAATGATTGCAGCCAGCCTGACTATAATCGGCCCCAAACTAAAATGCAATTAATCTTGCATATCGAAGATAAAACATTCTTGAAGGTGAGGGTGAGATTATTATTTTGTCCCTTGACACAAATATGCCATCTTCTTTTTTCGGGTCCGTCGACGTCGACCAACGAGCAAGGGGTCTCCGCTATTTCGAGCGGGATGGGAAGATCTACTCTCACCGTGCCGACCCCTCTTATTTATATTTTATTTATACGTTTTTTTGGTTTCTTGATGTCTGTAGAATCTTCAATTTGGAATTGTCGCAATTTCATTTTAATCCACGGTTCAACTGGATGTTTTGCTGATATTATTAGCAATTTTTGTGTATTTGGTTGGAAGTAATTGTTGGTGGCTGATACATCTCATGTTGCTAGGGAGGGGATTTCTCAAGAAGAATTTTAGCAGTGTGTTAGTTGGACTTCTGTTTTGAGGTAAACTTTGGGTTGTGTTTGTTTATGCTAGCAATGATGCTGAAATTTAGAAGACTGCAATGGAACACTATCTTAAATTTCAGTACTATATGGGGTAGTTTTGGATTGTACCTAAAGCTTTCAATGATTTTGAAAAAAGAAAAAAGATATAAGCAGCTGATTGGTCGAAAAAAGTGTGTATTTTAAATGAGCTTTCAATGAGCTTTTTATTGGGTTGTAGGTAGCGCTTTCAATGAGTTTTCAAATCTCGCTATCTTATGAAACTAATTGAGTTCTTTTTTTTAAGATTTATTTTTATCATCTTTTATCTCAAAATTTGACTGCGCGTCGCAACGCGGCAAAATTAAAATTTATATCTTCCTTAACTAACCTCTATCAACTAGCAGTAATGGCGAGCAAGGGTCGATCCCACGAGGAGTATGAATCAAAATTATGAATTTTTTTGTAATAATTGAAATTATAAAAAACGATAAATTGAGTGGCGGGGGGTTGATTTAATAACTAAACTAACTAAAATAAATAAAATCTAAACAAATAAAATAAAAATAAATAAATTAAGAGAAAGCTTCTAGTTCACGGTTCCGTCTATACCCTCAACTAACTCGTCTAATCAATTTTAGTATCAAATCTCGCTATCTCATGGGATTACTAGCCCTAGGTAACGACACGGTCTGTTACCCGAATTTTTCCTTATTTTTAATTTAACCGCGAGGCGCCCTACGAGTAAACTTGACTTCTTCTACAGTCCAGAAAAACGTTTTCAAGATTTAATACAATTAGCCGTTTTACGAATTAGAAAAATAGGCTAGACTAAAAAGTGAACTCAATTGCGTTCGTTCACTTAAATAGTCCGTGTTATCCCCGGTAGTTACCGTTTTCCGGTTGCCTCTTATAAATTAAACACAACAACAATTACGGACTGAAGGTCTAATTCAGCTATAGATATGAAAAGCCTAATCCAGGTGATCAATCTAAATAAGACTCAACACATCATGTTTAATTATTCAAAATAACACAAACAATTCTAAAAAGATATTGAAATCATCAACCATATAAATCAATTAAACATCATCAAGTACGTAGGGTTCGACTTCCACGAAACTAGAAATAAAATCTAAGCTAACATAATAAATAAAAAGCAAAAGAGAAGAATAAAGTTATCCTTCTCATGTACGGGTGCGGCCTCCCTCCGCGACTGATCGGGCTACTCGCGTTTCCTCTTCATGCGTATTCTTTTTCTCCTCTGTATTGCATGGCGGCTTTTTCTTCTATTCTCTGTTCTCTGTGCGTATAATCCTTTTCTTTTTTTTTCTCTTCAGCGTAAATAAATCTCCTTTTAATTCCAAGGGTCGGCGTGTATCTTCTCACAATATATGGTTGCCTTCCAAGAGTTTAATTAATTCCAAACTTCCTCCAATTAAATCTCCTCTGATGGCTGCGTCAATGTGCCCAGGTTTGCTCTGCAATTAATTGTCATTTGGGTCCACCAAATATTAGCACTTTAACAATTGTGCCATTAAACACAATTAGCACACATGGGCCTAAATTGGGTTGGTATGGGGCACCGCTAGGTCAATACGGGGCACCCCCATACTGTTCCGGATGAAATTTTTTTCAATGTCACTTCGCTAGTTAAAATCCTTCAATATCCTAAAAGTAAAACATAAAAGTATCAAAGCACAAGAATCCATCCAAGAAAATAAATAAGTCAAAAAATATATAAGTGCGATAAAATTAAGCATATTAAAATACGCTAGAAATATATAAAATGCACACTTTTTTCGACCAATCAGTAGCTTTATTAATTTCAGAAATTTTGTAACATAAGAAGGGCCATAAGTTTACCTGGGCTAATAATAAACAAGGAGAGAACTTTGTGTAAGGCCATCTCCAATCGAAAAACTCATTCTCAAACTCATTTTGCAGTAATTGTCACACCAAACAGTAATTCATCTCCAACCGAAAAACTCATTCTCAAACCCAAAAGAATATTATCAGAATATTTTCTTTTACATCAACTTTTACAACTTTTTAATACTACCCACATATATTACAACTTTACAAATTAGACCACACTATTATTTTAAAATTCAATTTAGAATTTATGTAATAAAGTTAATTATAAAGTTATAATCACGTACATAATAAATTGAAGAAATAAATATTTATTAAAAATTAAAATTTAAAAATTCACACAAGATAAAATTAAAATTACAACGCATAAAATGATAATTTAAAAATTACAATATATAAGATGAAATTAAAAACTACAACGCACAAGATAAGAAATTAAAAATTACAACATACAAAATAAAATGGAAAATTACAAAGAACAAGATGAAAAATTTAAAATTACAACAATTTATGATGTATTTTTATTTTTCGTAGT